ATGATTCTCATATTATGTTGGACCTGATCTAGTTGATGGGCTTCCTGTGTGAAGGCATGATTCTCATATTATGTTGGACCTGATCTAGTTGATGGGCTTCCTGTGTGAAGGCATGATTCTCATATCATGTTGGACCTGATCTAGTTGATGGGCTTCCTGTGTGAAAAATATGGCGAAACATACTTTAAATTTTGTGGTCTTGTGCCGAGGGTTGCACGATTCATTTGTGACATTTCCATCTTACATTTTTGGGAAGAGTAAACCCTGAGGATAGACAGACAGACAGACATATTTTATTTGGCGTTTTGCACATAGTTGCACATCAAATTAGTTCCAAATAAGTTACGAGTATATACGTATGTTTATGTATGCGGATTCCAAAAATACACGGAGGAGTTTGCTCCACCCCCTCCCCCCTGAAAATAACGTCCTTTCAGTTAAACCAATCAGAGAACACTTCCTTTATAGGTTCCAGCAGTCGCAGTCTATCACTTGATGTCTGGGAAAGATTCCTGTTTTGTATTGGATGCGTTCCTGTCCAAGATGGTGGTCAGCCTTCACAATCACCCGCGCATGCGCCAGTATTGGCAGATGAACAGGTAAATAGGATTACTGCGCATGTCAGGAACATGACAAACAAAAATAGCAACTTAGTTAACTAAACTCTTGGGTGAAAGTCATCACCTCATATATCGAACGCGCCCTGTGGCGAACTCGTGGATAACATTCAGATTTATGTTTATGAAACAATATTGCAAAATGATAGGATTTATTTTTATGGTAATAGTAATCTGAATATTTAAAAAAAACAAAAATTCAATTTTAAGAAAAAACGCATAATTCAAGTTAAAATCGTCTGAATAATCAGAAAATTCGAATAGCTCAGGTTAAAAATCAAATAATCAGAAGAAAAAGAATAACCCAGAATAGTTTCGAGCTTTTTTTCTCACCTTTTCTATTGGTTAGGTTATGGAAACACTTGTCTGGCTTACCAAATACTTCACCAATCAGCGTGCAGAACTGGGTGGTCACGTGACCGGTGGTCTTTACACCTTGTGGCGTCCATACATCAAGCAACTGTCTTTTCTTCTCGGGTTTATGTGTCAAAAGATCGTGGTTTGTTCGGCTCGACGGATGACCGACGCAACAGGCGGTAAATATCTCACTCTTTGATGTTTGTACCCAAGCAACACAAGGTATGTGAAATAAAGAGCGTTTATCTCAGCTTTTGTTTGAACTTTTTTAAGGAATGGAAAGATATTGGAGGTTGATATGTGAAGCCTTTGAACCATGGATTTGTTCACAAGACAGTCCTGTCCAGGGGTAAGTAGTTACTTGATTACCACTGTTTTCATTGCTACGCGCTTAACGAGACTACACTTGTGACAGGGGAACCGGGCAATAGACCCCTTACATGTGACGTCAAAGCAGCTCAATAGACCCCTTGCATGTGACGTCAAAGCAGCTCAATAGACCCCTTGCATGTGACGTCAAAGCAGCTCAATAGANCATGTGACGTCAAAGCAGCTCAATAGACCCCTTGCATGTGACGTCAAAGCAGCTCAATAGACCCCTTGCATGTGACGTCAAAGCAGCTCAATAGACCTATTACATATCACGTCAAAGCAGCTCCATAGACCCCTTACATATGATGTCAAAGGAGCTCAATAGACCCCTTGCATGTGACGTCAAAGCAGCTCAAT